GATCATGTATTGTGTTATATTATATTTCTGGAAAATTTAAGGGGTAGTTATATAATAATTTTAGACGATCTCGAGCGGTCGGATACTTATGACCGCTACTGTATATGAATTCTTTCTTGTGCTTTACCTGGCTAATAGGTCTATATACAGGAACACCATTCTCTGGTGGTCCATATCCTCTAATGATGAGCAACCGACCATCATTTAACAGTACAGAAGAAAATTCATCTGCAAATATTGGAATTTGGGGTGCCAGTAACATAGTCCAAGTAATCGAAATGGTATCAAAGAAATATGTATCACCTAGAAACACGCCATTATTATAACCACCGTGAAGATAAGCATTTCCATTATTATCACTTATAATACTAAATTGAGTTCTTTCATTTAACTGGGTAGCGTCACCCATTGTTTTTCTACTCTATTCATTTTTTTGGATATCATATTCCAATAGAATTTGTCCGTCATTTAAATTTGCATCATTCAAGTCTCTCATATTACCACCAATGACAAATATAAAATTATTATTAGGACCGCCAAGAACTGCTCCGCTGGATGAAAATGCCAAAGGCGAGGGTTTCAGTGACTGTGACCATGGTGGTGAACCTATAGTCATTGAATTGGTAAGATCGAGGAACAATATTTCTGGTATAGGCCCTCCATTAAATCCTCCAAGAACATATATAATGTTATCTTTGATAACGCTTGAGGCATCAAAACGTCCTTGAATAAATTGACAGGATATGGGACAAATAATAACAAAAAGAAAGCAAAAAAATATAAAGAATGCACTAAACATGTTAAAAAAAGATGCAGGGAAAATTTTGAACAAAACCGGCATAAGAAAAATTGTTGTGTACCATTTTAAATATTATAATCATTATATTAGAACGTACATTATTTATAACTTTTTATTGTCAATTAAAAAAAATACTTTTGTTTGCAAAGGTATACATACTTACATGTTTATATAGTGAGCCTTCAATATAATAAAAAAAATCCTCATGTAACGCTATGTAAATCCCATAAAGAGGACCGCGGCCAAGCAAATTGCTTGGCTTGGCCATTTAGTCAAAATTATTCGGCGTCCAAAATTTAATTAGCATTTGGCCATGATTTTACCACAGCCATTTTGGCCACCCAACGGGGACGTTCAATTTATCACCTCCGACTTCGGGACATTCAATTTTTGCAAAAACGCGATAAATAGAACGTCCTGAAGTCAGATGCGTCAATTTTTCTGCGTTCTAAAGCCTGAGGCTTCAATTTTTTTTGCATTTTTGCAATAAATAGAACGCCCCGAAGACGGGGCGTCAATATTGCAAAAATTGCACCTAAGTCTTTCGTATTTTTTAAAAAATTTTTTTTTAATTTTTCAAATTTTTTATTTTTTTAATTTTCAAAAGTTAAGCTAAAATTTTCACAAGCTATATGTTAATAAATTAATTTAAGATTTTAAATATGCAACAATTATGATAAACATTACATTGAAGTTTTAACTAAAAAAGTAGATTTATTGTAATATTTTTGTATTTGCATTGCAGCAAAGATATTGAAGGTTGTCAAGCTGCTTTACTTAGAAAAATGCCAAATAAAATGATCATATTCGAAATCATTTAAAAAATGAAAAATAAATATCCTCAACAATTTGCTGAATATTTTGAATCAGAATTAGAAAAAAAAAAATTGACGAATTTGATGATAGTGAAAAGATTTCAACTTCAACAAAAAGATTATATAGAGAATCTAATAGTTTAACCTATAGTTTTACTTCATAAGCAAGTTTGTAGACCAATTAATCAAATTTAATTTCCTAAGATAATCAATATCATAAAGTCAATTAAATTTCCATACCAGCTTAATTTCCTGTAGGTTTATTAACTTTATTAACATATTAATTGTATTTTCTAGTGTAATAATTCAACTTTATTTCTATAAGATAGCTTAGCTTATTTTAATATTTTTTAAGTCTAACATAGAGCTTTGATCCATTAATCAAGAAATTTATATAATAAAAAAGTATAATTAATCAAGTATAAACTTATCTTTTCACTATTATTTAAATTCTTATATCTTCTAAAATTATTTGCAACCCTTTTAATTATTAATTTGATATTATATTAATTTGCTGTATTGATTTAAAGTCTCTGGCTATAATTTCAAAAATATCTTTAAAATATATTTAATATTAATAAGTATTATTTATAAATAATTAAAATATGTTTTTTGATTCTTATATTTTTAAATCACTTATAATCATTTTAATAATTAAAATACTTTTGAAAATTAATGATTTTAAATTCATATTTTTTAAATCTAGCTTTAAAAATTTTATTAAATAAAATAAATAAAGAATTAAATTACTTTAAAACAATAAAATAAAAATTAAAAGCTAATTCTATTAAAGTTACTTTGATATTTAATAATTGAATCAAAATTATTTTGAGTTTAATTTTTATTATATTAAAAGAAAAAGTTTTATTTGAAAAGTAATAAATTTTAATGAAGAATTAGAAAATGAAAAGAAATTTTTCAAAAAATAGTAATAATGTTAAAAAATTAAGGTAAATTTTATTGTATTTTTAATAAATAATATATTAAATAATTTATTTTAAAAATATATATTTTAATATTTAAAAAAAATTTTTTTTTATCATTAAAATATAACTCTAAACTAGTAAAATATTTGAATTAAGTCATAAAATATAGCTTAATATTAGATCAAATTTCAATTTAACCTAATTTGATAATTTGATAACTTGATTTATTTATTATTATTTATTTAAATAATTCATTATCATTCAATTAAAATAATATATTATTATTTAAATAAAATGATTTACTATCAAATGAACAATTAATTTATATTTTTAAATAATTTATAAATGTTATATTTGAACAAATCATTATCATTCTATTTGAACAATTTTATTATTCTTTTTAAATGATACATTTTTATTTAATTAAAATGATATATTATTATTTTTCTTGAATAATTTATTATTATTCAAATTAAAATGATATTTTGTTATTTTTCTTGAATAATTTATTATTATTTTTATGAATAATTAAATAAAATCTTTTAAATTATTCAATTTATTCAAAGTGATTTAAAAGAAATATTAAATTTATTTAAACTGACTTGATTTATACTTAATATAAACTAAGTTATTTAAAATGATTTGAATTAATCTAAAAACTTTCAGGTCAAATATGTTAGATTAAAATAAATTATTTAATTTAATTAAAATAATAACATAAAATAGTCATTATAATTATTTTCAAAACAAAAGGAATTTTATAAGTATTATATATTTATTTTATAATATAAATAATTTTATTTTTTATTAACTTATTAATTATTTTTTTATTTTTTTTTATAAAATTAAAACTTTTAGATCAAATTTTAAATTTTAAATAATTAATATTATATTAATATTAATATTATTTAATATTTCTTTCTATTAATATTATTTTTACTTTATAAAATTAGTAATAATTACTTTTAAAATTCAAAATATTATATTATAATTAAAAATAATTAAATTAATCATAATTATTATTAATAAAATATATAATTATTAAAGATAGTATTACAATTAATAATTACTTATTTATTACCATCTGTAATTAGTTATAACTTAATTTTAAATAATATTTTGATTCTATAATACTTATTTATTATTAGTTACAACTTGTTAAAGTAATTCTTTTAATAATTATGTTAAATTATATTATTGTATTATATTAATTATAATTAAAAAATCTATTTTAAATTAAAATATAATTTATAAAAAAATAATATATAATTATATAATATATTATATAGATTTAAATATTTTGTAAATTTTTAAAATATTATGATAATATAAAATTTGAAATAAAAATGTTTAATCAACTTCAAAAAAATAACAAAATTAGAAATAATTACTATTATTTTTATCATAATTTTTATATTTTAAATATAAAATATTATAATTTAAAATTAATATTTTAATCTTAAAACATAAATTAATATTATATAAATATAAATTTTTAAAAAAAAATTAATATTTTTATAATGAAAATTAATTAATCAATTTAAAGAAAAGCTTTTAGATTTTTAAATATAAATTAATTAATAGTAAATAAATTTGAATATATTGCTTAAAAAAGCTTTAAAATTTATAATAATATTGAGTTTATTAAAAACTTTGATAGTATATAAATGTTTTAATATTAATAATATAATTATTTATTTGTAAGTATAAAGTATTATTTTAATTTATATTTTTAATTTTTTAAAATAATACAAAAAACTCTTAATTAAATAAATTATGTATTAATATTATTTTTTAATATAAAAAAGATGAGATAAAATCTATTACAATAATAAAAATTAATAAAAAATATTTTTAAATTAATTATTGAATTAGATTTAAAAATTCAAAAAAAAATGTTATTAATATTATAAAAGATATAAATTTAAAAATTTGTAATTTAAAAAAATTTTATCATTGATCTTTAATAAACTTTACTTTTAATATTATAAAATTTATTATAAAGAATAATTTTAATTATTATATTTTATAATTTATTAAGAATTTATGATTTAAAGTTTTAATTAGTTCATAAATATATAAATTTTAAAGAAATTTTTAAAAATAATTATAATAAAACTTAATTTTTAAAATTAAATTATTTAAAAAACTTAAAAGTAAATTGTATATTATATTCTTTTTTATTTTTTTTAAATTGTGAATTGGTTTTAAATTGTGAATTAGTATTAACATTCTTATAAAAATAGTTTCAAATTATATATTTTTTTATTAAATTCATACAAATTATAATAAAAAAGAATTTTATAAGAAAATTTAAATAGAATTAGAAATTTTTATTTTTTATATTTATTTAATACTTCTAAAAAAAGAAATAAAAAAAAGATATAAAAATAAAATTAAAGAATTAGATATAGGATATTTAATATTTATAAACATTAATAAGAATATAAATAAATTAAAAAATATTAAATAATAATTATTATAAAATAATAAATAAAATTAAAAGAACCCTTTTTTATTAATATATTTTAAATGTGATATATATTATATTGATTAGATTTAAGTTTAAAATTAAATTTAAAATTAGAATTAGAATAAAATATATTTTTATTATATTTATTTAGTTAGACTTTTTAATAATCTAAATTTAAATTTAGTAGAAATTTTTGAAGATGTCAAAAGAAATATAAAGAAAAAAATGCTAATAATTTACATCATTTTATAATCTAGAAATAAAATAATATTCTAAAATTAATTCTAATTAGTTAATAGGATCAATAAAATGCTAATATAAACTTATTATAGAAAATAATAATAACCAAAATTCATTTTAGAAAATATTAATTAAATAAGTTAGTTTTTAGAAAATATATAAATTTTGTATAATTATGTTATTAGTTATTATATAATATATAATGAAAAAATTCTGATTTTTTTATTTTACATTATATTTGTATTTTGTGATATATTTATATTACTTATTATGTAATTTATCTTTTATCTCATGTCATATAATTTGTATCTCATAATATGTGATTTTAGTTAATATTTATTCTCTGTTTGATTAGTTATTTTCTAATTTGTTAATATTATAATTTCTTTTTATTTTTATTTTTATTAATAATTTCATATGATATAATATTTTATAACTTTTTGACTTTATAATATGATGTTAACCATACTTGTAAAATAATTTTTCTTATAAACTTCTTTAATAATAGATTATTTTTCTTAATAGCTTTTTTATAATTAATAATTA